ATAACAGTGTGTATGCAGCAGCTGCGCCGAGTGGCAGATGCTGTGAAGAATGACGAGGATGATCGCCGTTTCTGCTGCTCATGATGTGAATACATTAGGCTTGGCATGAGCTTGTGGGCATCGGCTCCTGGTTCGAAAGGAAATCAGGATCCCAGTCGTCGACGAGTTGCGTTTTGGACGCAACATTTCTTCTGGAACATCCGACGGTCTTTCTATTTGTTCACGGTCATTTACAACTATCGAATGAAAACTGCTGGAAAAAATGATGAGGTACGAGGCACTATAATATGATATTCAGAGGGCTACACGTACCTGAAGTGTTTGCGTCAAAAATGAGGCGAGCAAAGCAAAGAAATCTGGAATTTTGAACAAGAATCTAATGCGCCGGATTAAGCACGGTAGTCACAAAAGTTCACAGCATTAACTGAACAGCCACTGCAAGCACGCTGTCGCCACCGCTTACCAACGGTACAAATGATCAATGCACAACAACACTGTCTCCCGGGGGAATGACACGTGACGTGCAGAGACGAGAACAGATGCTTTGACGTGGGCGGCGGCAGCTTTTCCTTAGAGATTACTCCGCTATAGTGGCGGTCAGCCAAGGCTAGATCGCTTAATCTGCTACCTCGAATTTCACGATGGAGGCAAATTCGAAATTAATGCCGTAACGAACGCACATAAACTTCAGATCAGTGGCTTTGAATGAAGCGTTGAACTTAAAATCATCACTGCCTATCGAAATCGACTACATCCGTTAGCTGTATTCGCTGGTGATCCATTTTCTACCGGCTACCGGTTCTAAAATGAATAAAGGCAAGTGATTTAAGTATTGATTTTGTCAAACAAAATTCGCTTAACTATTCAAATTCAAATGTGGTGTCGGCAGGAAATCACGGGGGACGATTCCACCGTTAGAAACAATTGCTCTTTCAGCGTACCAAAAATCTTATAAATCTTAATTTTAAATCTTGCAATCATAGTGAGTGTCGTTATCACCTAAACTTTTTAAAACTATTTTAAATTAGTTACTTCAAATCAGAACAACATTGTAGCTAAGAAAAGCAAAGGTAGTCGAAAAACGGCTAAGCTGTACTGTTGACGATGATCTGGAAACCTTCGACTTGAAACAAAGAAATCGTCCGAAATTTACACCTGATTCAGTGCAGAAATCTGAAGTCGTAGAGTAAGGTATTTATTCATTTTTCTGGTATCATGTACCAGACACCATTCGAGTTTATACGCTTTGATGGTCAACTGTGACGTATTTGAGACATCGGTCCCAACTGAAATTATTCGATTCATCTTCGTTTCTAAGCGTTGGATCGAAATACGTTGTATTTTGCAAATATTTTAGAACCAAGATGATTGATGAAATTTTTCTGGCATGCGAAACTTACTCTCCGTAATTCCTCCACCTCGTGCCATGTAAGGAAAGGGAGGTAACGACAAAAGTAATGGATTCATGGTAGGGCAAAATTCATTGTGGTGTGCATACCTTTGTGCTACGATGCTCTTTATGAATTCTTTTCATAGCTCTAAAACGACCGCTATCTAGTTTTTTGTGAACAAAAATGACAGAGCACCTTATGCACTTAATTTGGATCTGCCTACGAGAAAAACCCCTTGACGGCTATTTCAGACGAAAAGATGGGAAACGACCTTCGTATTAATCCCACATCACAATTGCGCTGTACCTTCTACCCTGAGACAAGGATAACATACATCCAAACCGACGTAAAACCTGAGGAAAGGAGGCTTGATCAGTGATACCAAGAAATGGATAAAACAACATATTTCGCGACTTCGATGGACACTCTCTTGTAAATTCAGCTTAATTACATCGTTCGGATTGTATGTTCTATTGCCATTAGTCAGAATAGGCGGGGAAATGTTACACTGTCACTACAATTTGTGGTTCATATTGAACTTTACCACCTTTTTAAAAATCGATATTCTTATAAACCCAGAAGTACAAAACTTAGATAATTTTGTCATATTCATCGTAAGTTGTGAATTTTAATTCTTTAAGCGGAATCACGAAAGGAAGCCATTTTTCAACGGAACTAGCGTTCAGTTTGCTATTTTGATAGACACAGGACCCAGGAACTGTGAAAGCCACCTAGAGACCGGTGGCTCCAGCATTATCGAAAATCCACCCTCGGTACGTTAAATGTCTAACTGCAAACCTCGTGAATCTAGGAATCACGTAATCACAGATGAATCCTCAAACCCCACTTCACAGCTATCTGAAGGAGACGCCTGATTAGTTTCGGCTAAATTCAAGAAAACCGTTCTGAAGTGTTTCGCGAAACCAAGATATATCCATCGCTGAAGACAGCTGGCGGATATATGAAACACAATAATTGCTTCAAATAAACAGCTTTTCCAGAATCTGCCTCTGTAAATCTGGCTTCATGCTACCGCGAATGATGTGATTTGTCTTTAACCGCGTAAGAAGAGGCTCATACCGTAACAAATTGGATTTGCCTAAATGGGATTGCTGAGTTA